GGGGGGGGGGGGGGGTGAGGTAGTGAAGAGAATACAGTATGAAAACTTTAGTCTGCCACATAAGAATGAGAAAACTGAACTAATTTGAGAAGAAAAAGGGTTAATTATGAACATTTTACTATCTACTCTAGAAAAATACTAATACAGTTTTAATCACTGATTCAGAGTCATTCCAATAACTGATATCAAAGTAAAATGGTTTTCAGTGAATATTATCCTTCTTTCCAGAATTCTGGAGTAGAGCAAAATTAATTAAGATAGAAAAAGCTAAAGAAAATGTCAACAAGCTCATAACAATGGAAACTGCATCTTGAATGGTGGCTGTGCATAATACAAATGGAAAATGACTTATATGGAAAACATTTTTCTACCAGGACAAGTTTTGTCGATAGCATCAAAATATTCTTTTCCAACTGTTGTGATGCTAAAAGACAAATAAATACCTACAGATAAAACAAAAACAGTCTCCTATCTTCAAAACATTAATTAGATTTCTGATACCTAATGGAAGTAAATTGGTAAGTTTCCACTTTCATTTCTCTCCGAAAAGGTATTAGCAACCTGTACATTTGCATTTTAGCTATTTCCAAATATTTTAAACAAACAAAATCATCAAAACACTGATGTTGTAAGCTTTTTACATCAAAAAGAGTAAAAAAATAAAACCTAGCTGTGATTCAACTGATCCAATCATGATTGTTTTCTTATGGACCTGTTACATACAGTGATAAACATGTGAGCATCTTGAAAATCAAACACACGTACCTCAGTGGTTTTAGAAAATATAATGTTAATTCCCTAACTGTGTATTTATTCTCTTTCGCAACTATCACCATTTAACAATATTTCTCTGTGAAAATGATTCATATTGAATCCTTTATTGAAGAGATGCATTTCAAGAAAGGACTTGAAAGAGGATCTACTAGTTTTGACTGGGACAGAGTTAATTTTCTTCACAGAAGCTGGTATAGTGCTGTGGTTTTGAGTTGTGACCCAAACAGCGTTGATAACATACCAATGTTTTAGCTATTGCTGAAAAATGTATACATAGCTTCAAGGTCTTTTCTGTTTCCCATGTTTCCCCACCAGCTGGGGGTGCACAAGAAGTTGGGAGGGGACACAGCTGGGACAGCTGACCCCAACTGACCAAAGGGATATTCCATATTATATGACATCATGCTCTGAATAAAAAGCTGGGAGAAAGAAGGAGGAAGGGGAGACATTATGGCATTTGTCTGCCCAAGAAACTGTTATGCATGATGAAGATGTGCTTTCTTAGAGATGGCTAAACATCTGCCTGCTGATGGGAAGTAGCAAATGAATTCCTTGTTTTGCTTTGCTGGTATGTGTAGCTTTTGCTTTACCTATTAAACTGTCTTTATCACAAGTTTTCTGACTTTTCCCCTTCTGATTCTCTCCCCCATTCTGCTGAGGGGCATCGAGCAAGTGGCTGAGCTGCCTACTAGGGTTAACCCACCCCAGAGGATATGGATGCCTAATACTCTTTGAAATAGGGCTATGAAATTTTGAAACTAGTAAAGATAGGCCTTCTCCTACTCATTCCTAAACTATTAGAAAAACAGTCCTTTCCACATAGAGCTAAAATTATTGGTTACCATAGGTATTATATACACTTTTATAAAATAATAACCATTGAAATCGGTTTAGACAAACATACACATAGATACGCCTCTGTGGTTCTCACATTAGTAACTGATAAGAGTGATTATTTTCAGACAATAAATTGTGGCATTACATTTCACATCACAGAAGAAAAATTAATACAATCTTTATCCCCAAATGCTAAAGACTGAAACCCAGGACAGCAAGATAAGACTTAGTGGAATAAACAACAATATGATTGAAAAAGTAACACAATTTGTTGAATACCTTGTAAGAGAATACTGCGATATATTTCAAGGCACGGCTCAGTTAAATACAATTTTATCCTTACCTCAGATATTTTGGTTAGATCATATTCTTGAAGCATTTTTTTTTTACATTTTTATGTGGATTTTTTTATTTCTTTCAAATGGCATATATTGGTGGAAAAAATAAAACTTATGAAGCAAAAATACTTTTTTCTTGACACCAAAAATCCTCATTTAATCTTTTATAGTCCAGTTGCTCTTATTTTCCTTCAATATGCCTTAATATGTCTTAAGCTCCATAGCTCTACACTTTTCATCTTCCTTTCACATTTAACTACTAAATACATTTCTTCTTTCTGAAGATCTCGCTATCTTTGTGGCCTGTTGTCTTTCACTGCAAAACTGCCTGCCTGTTTCTCTTCAAAACACTGTTTTTGTAACTCTAAGTGAAATGGCCTATAGCTACACTTTTCTTCTTCCCAACAAAATCAAACTCTCTTCCTTGACATAATTCATATTGTCTCTATTCTTGCACATTCACCCACCTGCCACTATATCCTACTTCTTTCATGGCTGGAGAATTACTTGAGCGTTTTTTGTATGTATGTAAAATGTCACATATACACCACCATTTTTATTAACTTCGATGCAATTACAAATCTGTGTTTTTCCTAAGGTATAAAACCTAGAAATTGTACAAAAACATTATACAGAGTAAATCTCAAATAGTCTAATCGAAGATGTGATATGAACGGTAAAACTGATAACAACCAACCTGGGCTTTTCTCATATAAGCTAATGGTTCTTTCATATGCTCAGGTGGCGCTGCAGGATGACAGGGCGAAGGAAACCTTAAAGAAAGTACAGTGTATTTTAAATGTTCAGATTTTTATTTTGCTTAATTAATCCTGTATTTGTAAACCTAAACATACACTTCTTTCATGAGAGCACTAGTAAAACTGCTGTGTATGTTGATGAAGACTAAAAACAAATATTATTTTTAGAAGTATTTCTTCATCCTTTTCTGTAGACACAAACAGTGTAATTATTAATAACATTTCAACATGAGTTCTTATATTAAAAATAATACTTCCTCATAATTTCACATATTCGTAATATAAAATCAAATAATTCTATGAACAAATCAGGTATTTAAAAAGTGTATGCTCTTTACATCAAGTCATCTTTATGAGTACCTGGAACTTTTACTATCCAGGATACTATATTTTTTCAAGAGACAATATATTTTTGAAGGATTTCCTTTTAAAAATCAATAGTGAACATGTATATACCCAAAGTAATTAGAACTTTGTGGAGTTGACCTAAGCAAAGTTAAATATCAATTCATAAACTGCATTATGCCAAAATATAAAAGCTGGAACAAAAATTAAATAACCAAACCACTAATTTATCTTCCAGTAACGTGGATAATTTCCAATGAGTTACTGCCAAACATTTTATCCAGCTTAATTTTAATTGTCTCAAATGTCTTTCAGGAAACAAAATTTACACAAAGCTTCTTTCATAGTCAGCCTGAATTTTCACTTGTTTAAATGTAGTCAATCAGTGCCTATCATATGATTTTGGGAAACTCTCCCCAAATTTCTTCCCATTTTTAACTGGTAAAGTCACCCTTGTACTTGCTGTTAATTTGTTCTGGACAACTCTGTGCCTATGTGTGAAAAGGAATCAATACTAACAGGTTTCAGCAATGCTGTTTCTTGGCTTTTCCACAGTGGTCATGAAATCATGGTATTCTTAGTTAATTTCAATTTTTCAGGGATAAATTCATTATTTTGCAGCTTATTGCCATGAACTCAAAGAAAATATAAGCATTAGTCCAAAAGACAGGTAAATATTTTTCCCTTGAAAAATATGATGAAGATGAATCTTTACATTTACAAGTATTTTGCTGAATCAATTCCCTTGTATGACAAAGACACACTGTTCAAAACTGGTAACTCCAATAAGCTTGTTTAAATTAGCACAAATAGATTTGCGTACACATTTCTTATTATATAGCTGCATTTATGGCTATATCTGTTATGAAATTCACCTTTCCACCTTGCCAGAATGTAAAGGCAACTTATGCTTCCCAGAAGTCTCATCCAAAGTTCACTGAACAATAATAAAAAGGGAATTTCACAAATTTCAGTGTGTTTATAACCACATCCTAAGCATGATAAGCACTGATCTGGTAAGTCTAGAGATCCAATATTTTAAAGATTTTTTTAAAAAAATCAATAGAACAAATGTGTGCGATGCCATCATAAACACCCAAAAATAATTAAAATACATTTGCAGCAACTACCTCAGCTACAGAACAATTATATTATGACTGTTGGTACCTTTGGAAGTAAACCAACAAAGACATTACTAAACTAACTAAAAAATTTGGTGATATTTGTTTCACTCATTCTTTAAAATGTACTTGCGTCCAATATTTTCCCTGGGATGAAAAAGAAAAAACACTTTAAAACAGAAAAAGCACTTTAAAAACAGAAATTAAGCAGGCACCCTTGGTATGACAGATCTTGCAGATAATAGTAACACATCATACACCTATATATACAAATGAATCAAAAGTATATCATGTGAGTAGAACTTATTAAATAAAAATACTAAATAAACTCACACATTGAGTTCACTATAAACAGCATTCTGAAGCTTCTTTTCCCAACCTGTTAAAAAAATATCCAGAAGATAACTTTAGGAATTAATACTAACGAAATATGAATCAGAGGTTGCTTCGCAGTCACTAGAGTTTTGTGTTCTGTCTCAACTCAGATCTATCTACTACACAGACAGGAACAGATCTTAACCTAATTATGACAGGAAAAGTTGCAAGTTGAGATCTGTATAGAGGTTGAATATCCTTTACTTCCATCCACTGGTCAAATAATTACAACACAGTTTTGGTTAAATAATTATATGCTATTTTTTCAAAGCCATCATATTATTAAAATAATTATAAATATTAATAGGCAAGTGTTCCTGATTATTATAAATCTTGTATCAGTTACTATCAAATCTTCACATTATAGTTACATAGTTAAATTTCCAATTTCCATTGGAAGTTGTAAACTAAGGGTAAAATTTTCAAGAATACCTCCAAGAATGCTAATTTCTGTTTTCAGAAGTGACTGAACTCTTGTATCATTCAGAATTTTCAAAAAAATTACAAGTATCTTATAAAACGATAAAATCACTTCTTTGCATAGTATGTTTTTCAAAATGCTGCAGGAATCCAGGAACTTTTTCTCTTTTAATTTTCTCGATCTCATTTAATAATCTGGAATCACTGAATGTCTGCTTCTGGCTACTGTCAGTAACAAAACACCAAAGCTGCACAAACTATTTTCATCATGTATGTCACATACGTTGTTACATAGATCTATACTATTCACAAACGTATCAATGAAGCATTACAAACCTGATGTCTTCAGAAAATCCTTAATATCTTCTTTTAGTGATTCTAGTTTAATTTCTGGTTTGTGTAGGCTAACCTAATATGAAAAATAGATAAATGAATAAATAAATAAGCATCAAGCAAGCACTAAAAAGAAAGTAAACTGTGTATTTTAGGTTATGAAATAAGAATTATACATGCTTAAGGTTACACACAAAGCAAACTGCTTCCTACTAACTTGACAATGGTAATTGCAGCCAAAAAAAATCAGCCGACTTTTTCCTCACTCGATGTCTTTGCTTTTACATCGGTGCTTAGAGCTGTATGAGGGGAAGGAGAGAGAAGAAGGGAGAGGGAGTATGCAGTGACATATATGCTTAATATTCTGAGCAAGTACCCCACATACTTAGCACAAATGCTAGACATTAAAGGATTGGTCATAAGGTACACAAGTAAATAACTAGAAGCCACTCGCTCTATTCTACACAACTGAACTGAAAACATTCCACAACTTCTCACAGTTCACCTCTTTCAGACAAGAAATGACATCTTCAAACTTCAAATAAAAACTACGGACCAAACATTCCCCACTGCAGCTGTGCAGTTCACCAGCCCTAACAGCACTGTTGACAGCATGGCATGCTTTAGGTCCATCACACACAACTAACAAACTCCACAATCCTATCATTTGCCTTATAGTTTATGCACGGAAAAGGGTATTTGCTGTGCTGCACAGCTGGCTGGAAAAGTTGGTCTAGATGAATTCACAACACAGAATTTTAAGGAAATCTTTCCATTTCCCCTAGTTGAAAGGAGGAATGGCCAATATTGCAGAGATTGATAGCATCAGCATTTCTGCTCTTATTTTAGGTCACCTTGCCATTACAGGTAAGGAAGGCTTTTATAGTTGTAAGGCTTATCAACTGCAATAGCAAAGAGACTGTAAGCATGCTTTGTGAGAAAGAAAGTTGATCATAAGCACAAACCATAAAGTGTGGTGAATCGCATAGCTCTCATGTCAAATGACAAACACGATTCCGTTCAGCACAATGATAAAAGCTGGCAAAGGATCATCGCTGAAGGCAGGGAAACAAAGATTTTCATGGGAGTTCCTGGGCAGCTCACAAAACACCCTTTTAAGCAACAGCCTCAAGGAGTAATTTATGAAGGATTCCTTCTGAACCTACTTTGATGGATATATCTGTTTTGGACTAACACGTCAGGCGGAGTTTAAATTTTTTCTGCTGCAAGGTAGTGGTTTTGTACCTCTCCTGTACGAATTTTAAATAAAGTAACATGCGTCAAACTGGGCAGATTATGCCTTACTGTTCCTCAGAAGTTCTTGCGCACACTTTTGTCAATGTTCAAATTTGTCTTCTGGGTTAAATATGGCCAATTTTAATCCCAAGGTCCAGGCATGTTTACCTGTGGGGCCTGATACACATGCTTTAAAGTCCTTTTTACATATGCAAAAAATCCCTCACAAATACAACTCATTGTCAGATGATGAATCACAACACAAAAAAAAGCTTTACAATCTACTAGAAGGTGGGTTCGTTGTCCTGACACTGTAAACAGTGCAAGAAGTGACAAAAGTGCAATCAGGAGAATAGAATTTTAAATCTCTGATGTTTACACATCTGTAAAATTTGTGAGCTCTTGGCTCACTGAAGAAGGTCGGACACTCATATTGACAATGCTTTTTTTTTTTCTTGTGGTTTCCTGAAAATTCTGGAAATTGATACAGCATATTGCATTAGAGGGGATAATGGAGTTCAGTCCACACAGATGACTTCCCGTTTTCCCTGTCAGGCCAAAAGACACAACAGAGGACTTTCTTGTAAACTGCTGCTCCCAACAGAGCCTGTTCCCCAGCTGCAGAACAAAAAAACAGTGATTCTCTTGTATGCAGCAGGGTGGCAGTCAAAAAGGAAGCAGGACAGCACTTTGGGGAAAACTCTCCGAGGATTACATTAGTGCATTGATCTCCATCAGTTACCTTCACCTCTTCATGCCCATCTATTCAGTCAAGTTCTGTTTCACTATTCCTAGCCCTGCTGCAGCAAATATTCCTATGCTAATCTTTAATTTATCAAAACTTTTATTTTTAGCCTGTTTCCTGTGACCTTTTCCTTTTCTTGACTGTAAAATGCCCTACTGAGGCAAATTTTCATATAAGAAACATGAAAATACACACACACACCCCCAAATTATGGGGGCGCTTCTGTCCCCACTCTTGTCATTTCGGGATGCAATTGCCAAAGCCTCCTCCCATTTCTACTTTTCCTTTTGTTTACTTCTGGATTGTGATCGATACATTCCTACAGTGCTATGCAGAGCTACAGAGCCACAGAACTGTTACTGTTAAGGACTCCTTGCATACTGGATTGTTGATCAGTTTTCAAATCGGAAATTAGACACCTGAAAGGGAAGAATCTGGCAGACAGTCCAGCTAGCAGCTGCAGCCAGTTCTAACACAGAACACCATAGCCTACTCTGTGTAATATAAACAAATAAGAAAATACTTCTTTTGGTAGGAGAAAGGAAATCCCTTCAGAATTGCTTTGCCGTAACTTAACAGAATGGTACCTCTTTGGAATTTACACAGGTGTTTATAGGCACTAAATTGAGAAGTCAAGGAGACTTACCAGAGCTGATGTTCCAAAATTACTAGACCAGGTCTCCCGCATACTTTTATTTTCCCTTTGGACTAACTAGTCTAACTTATTTCTGTGTTGCATTACATTGCAAAAAACATTCAGGTATTTTGGTAGGGTTTGTTTGTTGTAAACTGGTTGATACAATGTACTGCCTAAGTATCATTTGCATTTCAATGAAAAACATGTTGACAAAATTTTATTTCTATAAAAAGCGTTACTACAATTTACACTGATAAAAATGCCTGGCTAGGGTTTATTGGAAAAAAAAGACCTTGATGAAATTCATACTGATGAACTGAATTAATTCCTGCATGAACAAAATACAGCATATACCCAGGTAGAACTACGGTTTCAATACACACTTGATGAACAAGTATCGTGCTTTAAAAAAAAGAAAATAAAAATCTAGTACTATCAGGAGGCCATAAGAAGCAGAGTAAAGGAGAGCGCACAGTACAGGGGAACAACCCATGAAGGCAAAGAGTGACAGCCAGACTAGGAAAGAAATCACCCTATTCAGAGGCTCAGTCAGGCCAAGACAGAGTCCTGAAAGGAGACAGGGATGAAGACAGCATAATTCAGCAAGCAATAACAAATTATTTTTATTAAAAGTTAATGCCTCAAGTTTCTCTTAAGTAACTGGCATTGCGCACATTCTTATGGATGGACCACCCGGGTTCAGGCATTGGGTGTCCACATTTATCTAAAGCCTCAGTCAACTTCTTGCAAATCAAGAAGCAGTTGGCTGTTAGACATTCCTTCATAAAACAAGCTATCATTACAGCATTTCTTGGCACCCCCTTGTCCTTCAGCTGTACAGGAGAGAAAGGATAGTTTTGGGACTTTAAAAATTTTGCCAAGCCTTCTGAAAGGTGGCTAAGGTACCACTAACAATCCTTTGTATTTATGCTCTGTGCACATCTTTGGCTTTGGTAAGGTATCCCGCTGAGATCTGGCAGTCACTATCATAAGTGATACTCTAAATGGACTACACTTTCTGTACTTGGATGCCAAGTAGGAAGAAAATCCAGACACTCAACATTGATCGAGCTGAAAGCAAGCAAAAGGATAGCAAAGAGCTAGTTGGAAAAAAATGGTGGGTACAGTAAATTGATTTGTAGACCAAGTGAACAAATCTATTTGCAAATTAGCATCTAAATTTGGAAATGGCATTTGGTCATCATGACTGGAGCAGCATTGATCATGCAAGAGGACAGATGAGCCATCAAGGCACAGCACTTGAAGTATAGGAAAATAGCTAGAGGACCAGCAACATACTATAAAGAGAAGGCTTGACAGAACAAAGTGTTCCAGCATAACTCCTGCGTTAAACTATTTCTTTTCTCAACAAGAATAAACACTGCAGAGAAGTGATCCAACTATACTGAAATGTAGAACCGCATCAGGTGAACACATACTTTTATCCTGCTGCAAACAGTTCTGCAAATAACTTCACACTATCTAAATATTTTTACAGGCTATCCAACATAATTTCTCTTCAAAACCTTTTTGTTTTAGACAAATACGCTCACTTTCAGAGCATTTATTACTGTTCATTATGATTTTGCACAAGTGGACAATGGTTTTAGCTTTTATTGCTATTATTTCCCAAATTACAATAAAGCACGCTACCCCAAATATAGTCCAACTTTAGCAGAAGTAAATTTAACGAAAGCTAATAAATATTCACTTTCTCTCACATGCTCCATTCTGCCATAACTAGATTTTATCAGGATCAAGACAACTTGTTAAAAACCACTTCAAGTACAACCACAACAATTTCAATGTAAACACTCTCTAAACGCTTAAAATCCCACAAATTTAAGGGAGTGACCTTGGTTTTGGTTTATATGTTTCTGTAACAGAAAGAGGAATCATTCTGAGCATAACTAAAGAAATCTCAGTAAGCATAAAAGCCTAATTATATTGACAATTTTCCAACCCATCTACATTTCTACAGCAATTACGCTAAGGGAAGCAGTATTGTGAATTTTCTTATACAAGTAAAAATAACCTAGCAGTTGAAACAGAGAGCTTCAGTTAGGCTCATACAGGAATGAACAGCTTCAAATGTTATGTTCTCCCACAGGATACATTTTTAATAATGTAATTCCGATGTTTTGATAAATTTTCTAGGTCTTATTTGAATACAAAATTAGCGTTGCAAACAAAATACACACATGCAAGGTAAAACATACGATCTACATTACTAAAAAAAATCTGTGAATCAAGCTTGTACTGCTTTTAAACTCCATAATCTGTTCAACACATTCACAACTGCATTCAATTTAAAAGTCACTGCACTGCAAATGTTATCTGAACCAGTTAAACCAAAGTATAAACTCTATCAGGAGGGGATAGTAAGCCCCTTGTTAAATACAACGCACAAAAAGGAATCATTAATTATCTATGATGACTCATGAGTCTACGTTTATTT